CCCGAACTCCCCGTCTAGGGCCGTGGGGGCGACGCTCCCCATGTACCTTCCCTTAAGCCCGGGTCGTAGACCCGACCTTAAAAGTAGATACCCCCTGCGGGGTTATTATTATATTATTATTATTATTATTATTATTATTATTATATTATTATATTATTATTATTATTATTATTATTATATTATTATTATATTATTATTATTATTATTATTTGTTTATTTTCCACAGCCCTATCTATTCAACTGGTTCTGTCCATGTGGGCCGGTTTTGGTTGGTCATTTTCATTATGGTACTTCGAAGATGTTACCCACATCCTAACGAAGTCCATTACCTTATAGTGTCTTACGTAATATGGTTGCTGTACCATACAAAGCAATTTCCTGCACGTCTGCTGTCCTGTGCCTTCCTGGTATGAGATTTAGGTTTTCATGTAGATTGTCTGGGATCGTCCCTAATGCACCTAAAATTACGGGAACTATCTTCGTCCTCAGATTCCACATTCTTTGGATTTCAATTGAGAGATCTTTGTATTTCAATTTCTTTTCAGCTTCTTTGTTTACAACGTTTCATCGTTGGGGACTGAAACATCTATTAGCAGGCAGGTTTTGTCACGTTGGTTTTTGACGATTATGTCTGGACGGTTCGCGGATATCTCACGATCTGTTTGCACTGGTAAGTCATATATTATGGTAATCTCATCTTTACTAACTACTGGAGTGGGATTGTGATTATACCATTTTTCTTCCACTGCGATCCCAAAGCTTATACAGATGGCATGATGCAAGTATATGCATATTTTATTATGTCGGACCAAGTACTCGTGCTTCGCCAGTTGAGGACAGCCGGATATAAGATGATCTATTGTTTCTGAGTATTGTTTGCACATTCGACATCTATCATTTGCTGTTATTTTGAGGATATGTTTCTCATAATGTCTTGTACGTAAGGGCCTGGTCTTGGGCGGCCGTTATCAGGGCCTCTGTTTCACCTTTTACCTTCCCTCTCGTGAGCCACGCAAACGTTTGGCATTCATTAATCCCTGGCCTCTTAATTCTCTTCACGTATTGACCATGAAGCTGCTTTCGTATCCATTTATCCTTCAAGGTCTTCCTTGTCATGGCCTTAATATCTGTAGACAGTAATTCTTCTTCATCCTCGACCGCTTGATTTTCTATTTCCGGTAAATGTGTCTTTACAATTTTTATCGCTGACTTGACTACTGACTTTCCAACTCGAGGGTGCCTTTCACATCTCCAAATTTGTCTAACTAACTTATCATTTCTACGGCTTCTTAAATAATTGGCTATGGATACAACTGTATTATCATAAGTCATCTCTAATTGCCTGAGTCCTCTACCTCCTTCTTTACGACTCACATATAGCCTGTCTACATCAGCTCTAGGATGCAGCTGTCCATGAATAGTAAGCATCTTCCTTGTTTTACGATCTAGGTCTGCAATTTCCTTCTGACTCCAATCTATGATTCCAAAACTGTATTCTACTATTGGAACAGCTATACTGTTGATGGCTAGCAGTTTATTTCGTGCTGTTAAGTCTGAACGTAGTACCATCCTAAGCCTTCTTAGATATTCTTTACTGATGGTCTCTTTCATTTCATCATTACACAATTCTGGGTTTTCATAAACTCCAAGATATTTATAGCTTTCTCCAGCATCTAGGTTTTTGATGGTAATATTTGCCTGGACTGTTATGTTTTCCGTTTTTTCCACTTTTCCGTTCTTTATTGTCGCTTTGGCGCACTTATCTAATCCGAAGTTCATATGAATTGTGCTACTGAAGTCGTGAACTATCTTAATTTGCTCTTCAAGCGCTGTGTCCGAACTCGCGTATAGCTTTAAATCATCCATGTACAGAAGATGTGTTGTTGGCTGCTCATCTTTGAGTAGTTTATATCCCAATTTTGGCTTTTGATTTAGCATTCTGGACAGGGGGTACATCATCATGCAGAACAGGAGAGGTGATAGTGAATCTCCTTGGAATATTCCAGATTCGATTTTAATCTGCGGGGTATTATTGATAGGTGCATCCTTAGATTGTATCTTTAGCTGGGTGTTCCATTCCTTCATACTTTTTTCACACAGATTGATGATGTTTGGGTCAATTTTGAATATTTTAAGTATTTTCAATATCCACTGGTGTGGTACGCTATCGTAAGCTTTTTGATAATCTATCCAGCATAATGATAGATTTTTCTTTTTACTGTGTACGTCCTTCATTATCTTTTTGTTATATAATAGTAGATCTTTACATCCGTATGAACCTTTGCAGCATCCTCGTTGCTCAGCTGGAATCAACTGTTGAGCTATTAGGTGGTCATATATACGAGATGACATTATCCCAGTTAGTAATTTGTACAGTACGGATAAACAAGTAATGGGTCTGTAATTTTCTGGCTTAGAAGGGTCTCCTTTCTTGTAAATAAGATACGTGATGCCACTATTCATCCACGTGGGCAGATCTTCTTCTCCTTTTAGTATTTTTGTTAAGATTACCGCTAATGTTTTATGGGTGGCACTTATCTTCTTTAACCAGTAATTATGGATTCTGTCAAGCCCACCGGCTTTCCAGTTGGCAGCTTTACTGAGTACATCCTTTATTTCCTTCTCCGTGATGCTTTCACCGGTCGTCATGCGTTCTAGGTGCTGATAACTGTCAATAGTTTCCTTCATCCATTCCGTGTTCTCGTCGATAATTTCCTTCCTGCGCCAGATTTCCGACCAATAGTGTACTACATCTGTCTCTCCCGGCACGTCTTGCGGTGTCTCAGCTTTTCCATTAAGTTCTTGGTATAACCTTCTGGTGTCATATTGGAATAAATAATTCTGTCTGCGGAATGCGACTCTTTTATTATACCGCTTTCTACGTTGGGCGTAAGCCTGTATCTTTTGTTTTAGTTGTTCTTCTACTCTTACCCGGTCTTCTAAATTGTTTATGGTGTATCGACATTTCAATTGTTCTAACTTTCTTCTTGTTGCATTTCTCAATTTTGAGTTATCTTCTTCATGGAGGATTGAGAGATCGGATCTGAGTTTTGTGATCTTGGCCTCTATTCGCTTCTCCCAGGGGGCAGAAGTCTCGGTGTATCTATTTTGTAGGTGTCTGATTGGTTCTTCAGTTAATTTTTGATGTGGGCTTACTTTCATTGTTACTATTTTTGCTGTCGCATACAATAGGTGGTTAACCTCCGTAATATTTTCAATCAGTGTTTCTTCCAAGATTTGTGAAACTGCTTCGTTGCTTGTTTTACTATCATCTTTAGTTTCATGTTATCTTGGAGTTTTGGTAGTTTCAGTCTCTCGTTTATGGGTGAAGATTTCGTAGAAACGTATTCTTCGAGAATCTCCTGTTTGATAGTATTATCTGTTTGATCTTCACTCATATCTTCTGTATCCGGCTCAGTTGTCACTGAGTCCAACTCACGTTGCTCTCTCACTTCGATCCGTATTGCTTCGCTTACTTTACTTTTCATCGCTCTTATCATATTTTCATTAAATTTTCCGCTGTTCAGTAGATATCTGCGCTGCGTTGCGAGCTTCTTGGAATCCATGTACGGTCTGCTATTAGGATTCCTACTTCTCCACATGTTATAAACCTCTGCTTCGCCTATTGATTGCTTTGCATTGGTATAGTAGTAACACCACATCAGTTCGTTAATTTCTTCATAACTCCAAGGCCTTTTAGTAAGTTGATTTATTCGATTCTCCTTAGAGCGTTGTTCAAGTGATGCTGGCTCTGACCATGTTCATCAGGGTAACCAGCAGCTCTTTCCGGATGGTTTTCTGTGATCGTTATGGTGTTGAGTCCGGTTTGAAGGGTCCTTTGTGTTACTGATCTAGTGGCGTATGTTGCGTTTGCCTGTGTTACCACAGCTGCGTAGTCTTGGTTTTGTCCATTCTCGTTCCTTTGTCTATAGCCTAGGGTGCTGTTAATCCGGGAGGATGCGCCACCCATCACACCTTCACTCCTTCAGGCTGAGCATCACGACGGTTTCCGAAGAAGGGACCAGCCTCAATCACCTTCCCGCCTCGTAGTTTCGTCTTACTTCTCGTATTCATTTACAGTTAATTATTTTTCACATTGCCTCCGAACAATGGTGCAGCTCAGGGTTTGGCAGAATAAGAAGACTACCAAATCCCGAACTCCCCGTCTAGGGCCGTGGGGGCGACGCTCCCCATGTACCTTCCCTTAAGCCCGGGTCGTAGACCCGACCTTAAAAGTAGATACCCCCTGCGGGGTTATTATTATTATTATTATTATTATATTATTATTATTATTATATTATTTTATATTATTATTATTATTATTATTATTATTATTATTATTATTATTATATTATTATTATTATAGTATTATTATTATTATTATTATTTTTATTATTATTATTATTATTTTATTATTATTATTATATTATTATATTATTCTTCTTATTATTATTATTATTATTTATTATTATATTTTATTCTTCTTCTTATATTCTGATTTATTATTATTCTTCTTATCTTCTTATTCTTCGTCTTCTTATTCTTCTTCTTATTTCTTCTTATTCTTCTTCTTCTATCTTCTTCGTCTTCTTATTATTACTTCTTATTAGTCTTCTTCTTCTTCTCTTCTTCTTCTTCTATCTTTCTTCTTCTTCTTCTTCTTCTTCTTCTTCTTCTTCTTCTATTCTTCTTACTTCTTCTTCTTCTTCTTCTTCTGCTTCTTCTTCTTCTTATTCGTCTCTTCTTTCTTCTCTTCTTCTTCTTATTCTCTTCTTCTTCTCTTATTCTTCTTCTTCTTCTTCTCTTCTTCTATCTTATGCTTCTTCTTCTTCTCTTCTTCTTATTCTTCTTCTTCTTCTTCTCTTCTTATTCTTCTTCTTCTTCTGCTTCTTCTTCGTCTTATTCTTCTTCTTCTTCTTCTTCTTCTTCTTCTTCTTCTTCTTCTCTTACTTCTTCTTCTTCTTCTTCTTCTTCTTCTTCTTATTCTTCTCTTCTCTTCTTCATTCTTCTTCTCTTCTTTTCTTCTTCTTCTTCTTCTCTTCTTCTTCTTTTCTTCTTCTTCTTCTTCTTCTCTTCTTCTTCTTATTCTTCTTCTTCTCTTCTTCTTCTCTTCTTCTTCTTCTTCTTCTTCTTCGTCTTCTTCTTCTTCTGCTTCTTCTTATCTTCTTCTTCTTCTCTCTTCGTCTTCTTCTTCTTATTCTTCTCTCTTCTTCTTCTTCTTCGTCTTCTTCTTCTGCTCTTCTTCTTCTTCTCTTCTCTTCTCTTCTGCTTTCTTCTTCCTTCTTCTTCTTCTTCTTCTTCTTCCTTCTTCTTCTTCTCTTCTTCTTCTTCTTCTTCTTCTTCTCTTCTTCTCTCTCTTCTTCTTCTTCTTCATTCTTCTTCTTTTCTCCTCTTTTCTCCTCTGTCGCCGGTCTTCCTCTTTCCCTCCGCCGGCGTCGCCCCGTCCGGCCCTGCTCTGCCGCGGTCTTTTCACCGTATCCGGTTCTCATCTCCTCCCCTCCGTCCTGTCCTCCCTGTCCCAGCCGTGCCGCTTTTTGCCGTTGCACGTTTTTTTGGCTGGAGCTGTAGCTTTTCCCGACTCTTGTGTCGTTTCCTTGGTCTCTCCCCGTAGCTCCTCTTCTCCCTGGTCTTCTAGCCCCATTGCCCATTTCCCACATGCGTTTGATTTCGTCGGAGAGTGGCAAATACTTATTGATTTTTTCCGCATGGGTGGTTTGGATATTAGTAGGAAGAGGCACAGCTATGTCTATTATAAACGTCGTTCTTTCTTCTTTTAGTGTGAGCACTATGTCAGGAATATTGTTGGGGATGGGCCTGTCAGTTATGATTTTACGGTTCCAGTACAGCCTAGAGGTCTCCGTTTCTATCACAGGTGGCGGCGTGTATTTATAGTAGGGCTGTGTACCAGTTTCTCCTAGATGCTTTTTAGCCAAAGCTTGATAAAGTATTTTGGCCACATCATTGTGCCTTTCAAGATATTGTTTAGGAGCTAAGGGAGAGCACCCTGCTACAATATGATCTATGTGCTCATCTTTTTCCCCACATATGCGGCATCTGATATCGTCAACGTTCTCATGCATTATACGCTTTCGGTACAACTTTGTTGGGACTACCTGATCCTGGATGGAGGCTATGAAGCCCTCCGTCTCCAGGAACAGATTACCTGACTGCAACCATCCTTGGGAAGCCTTCGTGTCAATGGCGTTGTCTTCTATGCGGCTCCTATACCGACCATGTAGTGGTTTGGCTTTCCATTGGCGAACCAGATCCTGCATTGGGGTTATCTTTGCCTCAGGGTCGAAAGATTTTTCTGAAAGGTTTAGTGGTGTCAACTTTTTATCCGTCTGTGTTATTGCTTGATGCATTCTGCTGGATGTGGCTTTTTGGAGGAAGTACTGGCGTAGATTGTCCACTTGGCGGTGATGTAGTGTAGGTATGCAAGGTATTCCTCTGCCACCCTCACTTCGTGGTAGATGGAACCGCTCTATGGAACTATGTGGGTGGTGTCCCCGGTATTTACGGAATTCTTTTCTGGTTTCCACATTAAGTGCGTTCAGTTCTGTATCCGTCCAGTTCAGTATGCCAAACGTATAGGTAAGGACCGAAGTAGCGTAGGTGCTGACAGCAAGTGCTGTATTACGAGCTGACAGACTTGTTTTCAGCACCGCCCTCAAACGTGTTCTATAGTGCTCCATTGCCTTTTCTTTTGCAGCTTTCTGGTCTATGCCCGGCGCTTGTAGATAGCCTAAGTATTTATACTGTTCATCTTGCTGCATTCCTTCAATTTTCCCTTGCACTTGGTTCGGCTCATATCCTGAATGTTTACTCCACTGGCCTTTTACCATGCAACTGATCTTGCACTTGTCTAAGCCAAACAGCATCTTGATGTCAGTGCTGAATTTACTTACACAGTCCAGAAGCTTATGAAGATGTTCTTTGGTTTCTGCAAAAAGTTTGAGGTCGTCCATGTACCAAAGATGTGAAATGCGTGTTTCATTGCCACCTAACAGTATTCCTTTCTTTTGGCTATTTAGCATTGTTGTTAACGGTCTAAGCGCTAAGCAGAACCATAGCGGACTTAAAGAGTCTCCTTGAAATATTCCTCTCTTGATGGATACCTCTCCGGCACTGAATTGCGTATCTTGGGTGTTGAGATAGAGCCGTGTCTTCCAATTCGCCATAGCATGTGCCAGAAATTGTTTGATGTGGCACTCGATCCCATAAAGGTCAAGCACCTCTAACAGCCAAGAGTGAGGTATACTGTCAAACGCTTTCTGATAATCGATGTATGCAATGTACAGGGGTATTTTTTTCTTTTTGGCATAATTAGTTATGACAGAGTCTATAACAAGTTGCTCTTTACAGCCTCGAGACCCTTTTCGGCAACCTTTTTGCTCTTCGTCTAGTATAGTATTCCGCTCTAGGTGTGAATATATCTTTTCAGTAATTATAGCAGTCAATACCTTGTAAATAGTCGGCAGACAGGTGATTGGTCGGTATTTTGCCGGATCGTTCGAGTGATCGCCGCACTTTGGGATTAAATATGTTATTCCCATTGTTAAGAACTCTGGCAACATATCTGGTTGCTCTAAGATTGAGGTGTAACACTTTGCGAGTCGATCGTGAGCTGAAGTGAACGTTTTTAGCCAATAATTCTGAAGCTTATCTGATCCTGGGGCTTTCCAGTTTGGTAATTTTCGTAGAGTATTTACCACGTCATCTAAGCTTACTTTCCAGTCGAGCATGGTCCTAAAAGTTGAATTATTTGCTTTCTCTTGGCGGTACCATTTAGATGTGGAATGATTGATTGGATTGCTCCAAATTCCTGACCAGAAGGTATTGATGGCATCTGAGGTAGGAATCTGAACGTTGTTCTGATCTGTATCCCTCCGTCGCGCCTGCAAGTTCCTGTAAAAGCCTCGCTGATTGGTCTCGAATGCTCGATTTTGTTTCCGGCGTTCGTTGCTTTTCTTGTACCTTCGAAGTCGCAGTGCTGTAGCTGCTAGTTTTTGCTTCAGGTAGTCCAAGACTTCTACGGCTGTTGGGTTCTCCTCCGAGCAGTGACGGTTTATCACATTCTCTGCGGATCTCTTTACTCTCAGACTACATTCAGACCTGCGGTACTGGGTGAGTATTGCTATGTCCTTTCTAATCTCCTCTATATTACGCGATATCCTCATCTCCCAGGCTGGCAGTTTTCTGTTTTTCCTTACACATTGTTCGCCAACTCTCTGTTCATTTAATTTTAGGACTGTAAGTGCTCCAATGTACAACAGGCTATGGAGCTCAGTCAAGGTTGTATCTTCTGTAATCTCGTTATCTATTACTTTGTTAACTTCAGCGATATACTCAGATGTATGGGGTTTTATTATTAGCTTTGGTAGGCTTGGTTTAAGAGTTGGTTCCACACCATCATACTTCATGAACAAGCCCCTGAACTCATCTGCGTATTTAGATGGTTGGCCATCGTTTATCTCAATTTGTTCTTTCTTATTATTATAATTATTACTATTATTATTATTATTGTGATAAGTATAATTATTATTATTATTATGATAATTATTATTATTATTATAATTATTCTTCTTATTATTATTATTGTAATTACTATTATTATTATTATTTTAATAATAATTATTATTATTATTACCGTTATTATTATTATTATTATAATTATTATTATTATAATTATTATTAGTATTATTATTATAATTATTATCATTGTTATTATAATTATTATTATTATTATTATTATCAACATTATTATTATTATTATTATTATAATTATTATAGTTATTATTATTATTATAATTATTATTATTATTATCATTATTATTATTATTATTATAATTATTATTATTATTATTATTATTATTATTATTATTTCATCTTTTTTTTCACGCTACAGGACCGTTGTCTATTAGTAGCGGTATCTTATATGGAACGGTTTGACCTCTACACCGGGTCCTCGCCGAGGACCTGAGGGGTACAGATCTTTGTAGTTTATGAGCTGGTTATGTTATAAGTTTCCTAATTATGTTCGATGTGCCTAATAAGGCGATCTTCTGTAACTGATAGAAATTATGATCTCCTGGTATCCTTTTTAGGTTATCTAGGATGTTGCGAGTGACATATCCAGTTGCACCAATCACTACGGGAATAACAACTGCCTTTGTATGCCACATTCTTTGCACTTCTATGAGTAATGATTTGTATTTTAGTTGCTTTTCAGCCTCCTTTTGTATGACATGTCTATCTGCAGGTACCGATATATCAATTATATAGCATATTTCGGTGGTTTTTATAACAATATCTGGTCTGTTTGCTTTTATTTCTCTATCCGTGATAACGGGATGGTCATACATTATTGTGATACTACCATCTTCACTACGCGTTATTCTGTCGGGGTGATGCTCATACCATTTCGTCGATTTTATTGGACAACCAAGGTGGCGAGACACTTCTCGATGGATGGCTGCGCAGACATTATTGTGCCTGTCAGTATATTCTTTTGGCGCTAGTATTGGGCATGCAGATATTATATGTTCAACAGTTTCATTATGAATGTGACACAATCTGCATTTACCGTCATTCCTCGTCTTGTGTATTGTTTGCTCAATGTAACGGGTTTTCAAGGATTGGTCTTGTGCTGCCACCAGCAAGCTTTCGGTTTCCCCTTTTAAATCTCCGTATTGTAACCATCCAAATGACAGTCTTAAGTCAACCGGAAGCTCCTCCATTTGACGGATATGCTGTCCGTGTAGAGGCTCACTCCGCCATTTCTCTTCGACACATTGCTTCAAGTACAGTTTGATGGACCTGTTGCCTCGCTCGACCGTATGTCCGGTTTCCGCAGCTTCTAATTTGATCTTATTACTACGCTTTACAATAGATCTATTTGTTGGTTTCCTATTGTCATGTGCTAGTAACATCTGTAGTAGGCGGTCTTGCTCAGATCTGGTTTGAATATACTGCCCTACTGAGAAGATAGTATTGTTGTACGTTTCTTCTATTTGCTTTAGTCCTCGTCCCCCTTTCTTTCGTGGCACGTATAATATATCGATGTCTGCTTTGGGATGAAGGATATTATGTGTTGTCATTAGTTTTCTTGTTTTGCGATCCATTTGTCTTATGTCATCCAATGTCCAATTGATTATACCAAAGCTGTACTGCATGATTGGTATGGCAAGAGCTCCAATTGCTGTTATCTTGTTTCTAGACGTGAGTTGAGTTTGCAGAATTTTACGTACTCTCGTTATATACTCATGTCTAATATCAACTTTCAGTGAATCGTGGGTGATGTGTGAGCCTTCTTTAATTCCCAGGTACTTGTACACTCCGCCATGCTCTAGTGATTTGATCGACTCTCCTTTATCAACTATTATATTAGCAGAGTCATAATGCATTCCTCTCCTGAATGTGACTACAGCGCACTTATTGAGACCGAAGCTCATCTGTATGTCGTCGCTAAATTTTTTTACAATATTGAGAGACGTTTTCAGTTTGTTTTGGCTGGGAGATATGAGCTTCAGGTCATCCATATATAGCAAATGGGAGAGACAATCATTTGCTCCTTTAAGTTGGTAACCTAGGTTGGCCTCGTTGAGCAGCGTACTTAATGGAACCATCGCAATGACAAACAGAAGAGGTGACAAGGTATCACCTTGATATATACCTCTTTTTATCTGTATGGGTCCTAACTCTATTTCTTCCCCATTATTACTGACTAACAGGGTAGTACTCCATAGCGAAATCAATCGCTTACATAGATCAATGATCTTCTCAGATGTTCCTATAAGCTTCAGAGATTTCAGGAGCCAGCTGTGCGGGACGCTGTCGAATGGCTTTATATAGTCAATCCATCCAATGCTAAGATTTTTTTTGTTCTCTTTACAATCTTCTACAATGGCTTTCGAGAGGAGTAGCTGATGCTTGCAACCAAGAGAGCCCTTGCCACAGCCTTTTGTTCTGTTGGTATTATCTTATTATCATTTACATAATCAGAATATTCTGCTGGCTACTACCTTAGTTAACAATTTGTACAAGGTGTTCAGACAGGTGATAGGCCTATAATTTTTGGGGTCCTTACTATTTCCAGACTTTGGAAGAAGGTATTTTTTACCCTTTGGCAGCCAGTTCGGGATATCTGTTCCGTTATCGAGGTAACTATTATATATCATTGTTATTGTTTCGTGTGTGGACACTAGATATTTCAGCCAGAAATTAGGTATCTGGTCTATACCAGGGGCTTTCCAATTTTGGGCCTGCAGTAGTGCTGATCTGACTTCCACGACACTGATGTTTTGCCAG